CCTGCTCTTCTTTCAAACCTTTCAATTACATGAGTTCATCATATGCAAACTCAAACCAAGCTGCACTTATTCACGCTGCTTAATCACAAGCAGGGAGATGTGATTTTATGTGCAGACATGAAAAATGTGTTAAAATTATCCTCAATCTAGAAAGGAAAAATATAAATTATGTATACAACTACAAGACTTCACCAGCATTTCAGTGACTTACACAAACTCAACTACCCACCCAGTCTCCACAGAAGAGCCACTGGGACAGGCTTCACCAATTTGCTTTTTATTTTTATTAGGAKATTTATGTACACGCATTACAAAGCCAGCATACCAGCAACGCTGCTGTAAATAAATACAGATTACAAAGGCAGTACTTGTACAAGCAAGGACCTGATCCTGAGCAGACTGGGATTTGCTCTGGGAACATCTCAAGCCCCTCAAGGTGAAGCCGGCGGACCCAGAATGCCCGGGCAAAAGGAGCGGTCACACCGCGACCGGACGTTGCGAACCGGGGGCAGCCGCACATGGGGCCGCAGCCGGGCGGGACGCAGCTTGTGCCGGGTGTGGATCGGAGCGCGCCCCGCCATCCCCGCTCTGCTGCGGCTCCGCTCGGGCTCCCCGGCGGTGGCGGCGGCCCCTTCCCGCGGGCCGGGCACGGCGCGGGCGGGCGGCTCCGGCGGGGCCCGCCCCGGCAGCCACGTCCCCGGGCGGCTTCGGGCGCCGGGCCGGGCCCCGCAGCCGGGCCGAGAGCGCAGCGGGGTGGGAGCGGGACGCGGGGCGACCCCGGGCGCAGCCCCCGCCGGCGTCCTCTGCCCGGACCGGGTCCTGCGCGGCCSGTCCCGCACTCACCTGCGTGTCGGCCGCCATCGCTCCGCCGCGACCCCGGAACCGGTAGCGGCTTCCGGGGCGGGCCCGGCGCCACGGCGATGGGCGCTGCCCGTCCGGCCCGGCAGCCCTGGCCCCACCGCGCACGGGAATGCGGCGGGCGGCGGCTGCTCTGCCCAGACCTGCTGCGGGCAAGGCCTGTGTCGCCTGGCCCGGGGACAGCCCCGAGAACAACCGMCCCCCTGCAGCACCCGGGGCCGGGGCACAACCGCTCCCCTGCCGTGCCGGGCCCCAGAACAACCATTGCCCTGGAGCACAGGGCCCTTCGGGTTACACCTTTCCCAAGCCCCAGGTGATACAGACACCACACCATCGATGCAGGCACATATGAAGGTGTAAAATAGCTTTTTATTTCTCCCATTGGGCCAACTCTGACAGACACAGACGGTGACTACTGTTAGTCAAAGAGACCGAATCCCATGTCCTCATCAGACTCCTCCGACTCCTCCTTTGCTGCCTCCTTCGCTGGAGCAGCAGCGGCGGCAGCAGCAGGTGCGGCTGCTTCAGCTACCACAGGCATGGCTGCCACAAAAGCAGAGGGGTCTGCCAGGAAGGCCTTCACCTGCAAAAGGGGGAAAACAGGTAAACTCACAAGGAACAAAACATTTTGCAGGATTGAACTTTTGCAATGATAAAGGCAGCACTTGCAGCTTGCCAGAATCCAAACAGWTCTACTTAGCATTACTAGATTTGCAGAACCAAAGATATTTCAGCTCTGCTGAGTGTAACAGCGCCAGAGAACAAGGAACACCAGGTAATCAGCTCTCTCCTGCCATTCATACACAACACAGTGAAGCAAGTGCTCCTCCTCCGAACATACCCCCTGCACACAGGCAGGTCCCAGTCCTCTCAACACAGGGGACACGCGGTAGAAGTGCCTGGCTGCATTTCCAACACCCCTCTGTGCAGAGCTCAGAACCAGCAATTACCTTTTCAGCCAGAGGGAAGGTGTAGTCGGTCTCCACAGCCACGGCCAGGACACGCTTGTACCCATTGATGATGGAGTGGGGCACGGACGCAATGGTCGGGTACCCAATTTGCAGACAGATGCTGGCAACATTACGAACACCCTGTGAAAAGACAAGACTTGTGTTTCTGTGCTCTGAAATAAGCTGGACTAGAAATCACGGCAGAGGATGGCCAGATGACAATTTCTACATTGCCAACRTGAGGGACAGTGTGCATCAAGATTTAAATGTCACTGATCTCTGCTCTCTGGTGACCAGGGACAGGACCCAAGAGAATGGCATGAAGATATGTCAGGGGAGTGGAATAACAAGAAATGGTTCTTTCCACAGAGGGTGGTAGGGCACAGAACTAACTGGCTCCCCAATAAATGGTCACAGCCCCAAGGCTGCCAGAGCCCCAGGAGCATTTGGACAAYGCTCTCAGGCACAAGTTGGGTTTGTTGGAGTGACCTGTGCAGGGCCAGGAGTTGGACTGGATAATTCTTGTGTGTTCCTTCCAAATCAACATACTCTATGATTCTAAGTGGCCTCATATGCTTTCTGAAGCAGCTTCAGATGAAGAATCCTACAGGAAGGTACTTTCTGACATGAGGTTTCTGCAGGGAACCAGAGAGAGGTCCTGGCTCTGCAGGACCTTATGGAAAATACCAGACAGGACACTCAGTTCTGGGGCAGTGCTGGCTCCCAGAGCAGCGAGGCAGAACACGAGGGGCATGTGGCACTCACCTCCAGGAAGCGTTTGTGCAAGGTCTCCTCAGTGATGTCCAGAACTTCAGGGTTGTAAATGCTGCCATTATCAAAGACCTGCTGGATCACCAACCCGAAGGAGAATGGGGAGATGTTCAACATGTTGAGCAGAGTGGCTTCGCTGGCACCCACTTTGTCTCCAGTCTTGATGAGCTGCACATCRCTCTGAGGAGATCAGGGAAAAGGAGTGAATACACATCAAGAAATTCCAGCACAACAAAGCAGTGGGACACAAACTGAAGGACCAAAGGAGCACAACACRCTCCATATTCAGCTCCACAAGTGGAGAAAGCCTCAGACCATATAACCAGTTCCATGTCAGCCAGCAAAAAGGCAGCACTTTTCCTGTATTAGCTAAAGGTATTTCAACTGTGAGTTCTTCTGGCAGAACCTATCCCTGAGAATCTGTAGAGAACTTCAATTGCCCCACACTGTGCACTAGAGCCATGCCAGACACTCTCCTCCAGATCCCAAAATGCAGTAATCATGCTGCTCATACAGCATCTAATGGGAGCTTTGGCCTTCACACCTCCCTCAGCTGCCACAATCAAGGCCTCCTAGTCAACTACAAGCTTTAACAACTGCAGCTTGCAGTTTACTGACCAGAATTTCAATGGTGCCTCTGGAAATCTTCGTGGTGATGCCCAAAGCCTGGAAAAAGGAGGTCTTCTCGGGTCCGAGGCCCGTGTTCTGGGCTGGCACAGTCACATCACAAGGAGCAATAGCACCGGCACGGGCAGCAGCTGGCACCTGAGAGGGGAGATGAGAAGCTGTAAGAATGCTCACCTCTGATCTTGTAGGATCACCTCCTCCCTGACATGCTCCTCCAGGATGGACRACACCTATGCACACACAAGTGAGGCAGCTGAACTTAAACACTTTGGCTAAGGCTGCAGGGGCCAATTTCCAACGCTTGATGACTCCTACTAATCAGGTATACACCTGTGAAGACTGAGTTTTATTTTTAATTCCATATCAGCCCAGACATGCAGTGAGGGCTGATCTCTCTTACCTTGTTAGCYAGCAGCATGTCCCGGATCTCAGTCAGATCCTCCTTCGTGAAGACAAAGCCCACATTCCCACGGATATGAGGCAGCAGCCTGAAGGGAAAACAGCAGCCTTCAGTTTTATTCCTCAGACAACCTCCCCTCCTCCAAGACAGAGGACCCAGATGTGCTGTCAGGCAGYATTACCCACTTTTCTAGGGCAGGGTTATTCTCCAGATGACCACGAATAGCTTTGCGCATCATTGTGTTCTTCCCCATCAGCACAACAGCCTTTCCACGCAGGGACATACGGATCTGCTGCATCTGCTTGGATCCCACATTGTCTGCTCCCACAATGAAACATTTTGGGTAATCATCCAGGAGTTGCTATAGCAAAAACAACACTGTAACTACACAACAATACTGAGAGCAGTGCACAAAACAGTATTAAAACCTCAACACATTAAAATGTAAGAGTTTGTCAAAAGTTTGAGAAAGCTAAACTTCGAGTAAGGCTGAGCATACCGTAAACTGYATCTTTCACACAGCTATCGAGTCACATCCCTGAACAAGTCTCCAAACGCCACGGCAAATTCTCAAAAGGCCAGATCTACAGTCTCAAGTCCCTTCCAAGCGCCAAGTACCCATTCAGACATTGCACAGCCCCCATCCACCTCTCTTAACAAGTCCGCCCAGCCCGTTCCGCCCGGTTCCTGCTGCCCCGARCTCGCCCCAGCGGCGGCAACCCCTCACGAGGGCTCCAAATCAACACTCACGATGATTTTCATAAAATAGTTGGAYTTCCACGTAGCCCTGTCTTCCCTGGGCATCTCGGCGGTGCTCCAAGGATCGCCCGGTGGGTTTAAAGACGAGCTGGGACCTGCCAGGAAGAAGAGCGGCTCAGGTGGGTCCCCACCCTTCCCTTCCCTCCGACCTGGGGCCCATCGCTCCAAACCCCACAGTCCGGCCGCGGCCCAGGACCCCGCTCCTGACCCCMGTCCCGGTCCGCTTCCCCTGGCGCGATCGCCCAGCCCCGCCCGGGCCCCGGAGCGGCCGCGCCGCGCTCSCACCTCCACGAGGGCTCCGGGAAAGAAGGGCCGCAGGGCGGGCCTGTCCACTTTTATACCACGGCTCACGACCAATCGCAGAGGGCCGCGGTACCCCCTCCCCTCAGCCCATTGGCTGCCATGCCCGTCAATCAATCGCCGCACTGCAGGCAGCGCGTGACGCCAGCGGAAAGCGCGAGCTGCGCAAGAAAACGCGCGCGGCCGGGCGCGCAACGCCCCCTGGCGGCCGGAGGAGCGCACTGCCCCTTCCCGCCCTCCCCGCGCGAGCCCCTCAGGCTGAGGGAACGCCCGCCCMCGGGCCGGCCCCTCACACGCTCAGGGGCGGGAAACAATCGTGACAGGTGTGACAGTAATGGTAAAAATTTTATTGGCGTAACTGCAAGAATTTTAAATGGAAAAAAAAAAAAAGCGGAGTTAGAAGTTTACAAGGGAGGAAAGAATCAAATAATTGTCGACCCAGCGTTGATTCCCCTAGCTCAGCCCGGCCGTGATGTGAAAGGCCTTCCCCAGGGATAGCGTCTGGCCCGAGGGTGAACACACAGGCCTCCCCGAGCACCTCCATCCCCAGCCCTCGCCCCCACACACCCCAACAGCGGCTGTGCTACCGTAAAGCCACAACTGCAATGAACGACAGGCATTTTGGACACCCACAGCAGCGGCAGACATCACAAGGKGTTATTTGGCAGACTAGCATCGGTGTGCCATGATGTCAGGCACCAGATGAAGGCAGGTGAGTGTGAAATTATCTTGGTTAAGCACTAAGGCCAGCGGAGCCTSCTCTCAGCATCCCACACCCAGATGTGCCACAAATGTCACTGACACAGCCTCAACTAGCAGTGAGGTAGGTTGAACTTCCCAGACAGGGAAACTGAGGCACAGGATTACACAGTTTGCGGGTGTCACACAAAGTGGCAGTGCCAGAAACATCTCACCCGTCTCCAGCACTTCCACACAAGAGCTGTGTGTCCCCTCAGCGGCACCAAGGGAGTTGACCTTTCCAGAGAGATCAACACAGGCAGCTTAGGAACATCCATTTTAGGTCAAATAGACTTACAAGATGAATAGGCAAATGCATAAGAATTCTTGCCTCAAATATTTCCCAGAGCTCTGCTCAGCCCAGCTGACACAGCTCCAGTGCTCCCACAGCTCCCTCTGGCCCCACAYCCACATGCTGAGGTTTGTTTGTCGGGGGAAAGCAGTGGGAGAGTTTCAATGACCCGAGCAGGGCAGCACAGCACCGTGATGAGGTTACACAGGACAGTGACCCATGGCTTCCAGGGCCGGTTTCTGACACAGCCACTTCTGGACCCTATAATGCACCTGTCAAGCTGCAAAACACAACCAGATGCTGATGGTGACAGACAGCAGCTCTCTGGAGCAGTAATTCCAAACACCGCTCCCAGGGTTGGTACCACAGAATGCCACTGGGAATTTCGGCCCAATGCTTCCCTCTCCATAGCACCCCCAGCCAGAGGGCTAAAAGTGCTTTAGCAAACATGAACTAGGCCTCAGAATGACCTCACAAATCCAGGCTAAACTGCCCCCATTTTACAGATGGGGAAACTGAGGCACGGTAAGGTTTAGTGACTGGCCCAAAGCTAGTCAGGAAGTCTGTCTCCCAGTTTCTTCTCCTCAGTCACAAGACCTTTCTTCCACAGAAGAAAAGGAGCCCCTTCCCCAATTAACCCTGCTGTGGTTTCAGGCAGCTGAAGAGGAGAAATCAAGGGCAAAGCTCTGAGCTCCTTCCTCTGCAGCATAATATTGAGACTAACTCTTAACATCCTGGAAGCCGAGCTTTGGGAGAATGGCAGGTGATTCAAATACAGCAGTTTACAGGTTACAATAAAACCAAAATCATACTTTTAGGTGATCCAGAGGAAGGGAAAAAAACCCAAACCAAACCTATTCACAGTGCACCTGCCTGTGCTAGGGAAAAAAAYACAAGTCATATTCCCTTCCCCATAGATTCTAGCCCCTCCCAACCCRCAACAAAAAGGAAATATTGAATGTTAGTTAGGCTTAACAAAGCATTGAGGTTACAGATGCAGTAAGCCAGCACAACTGGCACACTGCCTAGAACAGCACAGCTTGATATAAAAGTTGCTTTCTTAAAATCACTTCAAAACCAATTTCTGTATAAGAAGATTAAAAGTAAATAGATATGAATTCAAAATCAGTGTAGAAATCTACAGTTCTTATCAAAGACAGGATACAGTATTCACTTTGATAGTAAAACTCCAAGTGTGTCATGCACACCTGACCCCCAGGACTTGTTATACCAGTAACAGTCAATATAAAAGGTTATTGCTATAGCATCTCTCAGTAGAACATGTTTAACAAGAGCACAGAAAAAGGAAAAACCAAGGGCCTGATAGGTTCATTAGCAAACTGGAAGAAGAAAGTATATAAATTTAGGATTTTTTTTTCCTGGCTTCTTAAACCCCTCCTTCTCTGCACTCTTGTGACAGATTCAGGCCCTGATAGATGGAAGAGTTTCAGGCCAGATAAACACATGCGCATCACACTCACTCATGACAGGGATGGATGAAAAAGGCTGCTCTGACCTCTCTGCACCTGTGTTTAAAGAACGGATAATGCCTATTCTTCTCTCCCAGGAGCAGCAGGTGAGGGGAGCAGATGCCCTGAGCTGGCCTGGGTGGGATGCCTCTATGGAGCTGCCTGGCACGGGATGTCCCCACAGGAGAGCACAACAGTGCTGAGGGATTKGATCAGGGCTTACCCCACCTCCTGCTCCAGTGCACTGAGAAAAGGCATTGAGAAAGGGAGTAACAAACTAGAGAAAAAAAAAAAGAAAAATCACCCCACACAGTAACATCTTGATTCTTCTTCATTAAAAAAAAAAAAAAAAAAAAAAAAAAAAAAAAAAAAAAAAAAAAAAGACGAAAAAAAGAGTAAGTGGTATTATCTCCTTACAGTGTAATGGAACTGGAGAGACCCTTGCAGTGTTGGCTGCCTGTGCTGATGCTCTGGTCTCAGCAAGTCACACGCACGGTGGGACTCTGTGAACAAAGCCAGGATGGCACTGAGGTCACAGAGTGCCCTCGCTGTGCTGTCGCTCACCCTGCACACGTGCAAGCAAACGCMTGAGGTGTCAAAGCAGAGGGTTGTGTTGTCTTCAAGTGTCATGATTTGCTCAGAGAACTGACTCAGTCTGAAATGTACTGGCAAAGCCTCCTGCTGCCAGGAGGGGGCTGGGAAAATCTCCCTGTTGGAGCCCTCGAGCTAAGCTCAGCTGTCAGTCACACACACAGACACACACACATCGTAATGAGGGATCTCGGCCTCTCTCTACTGAGACACAGCAAGGGCGTTTCCAGTTTAATGGTCCATCTCTTCTCTGGATCTACTGCCTCTCCATAGCAGCACTCCCCACCCCCCACCCCCCTCCTTCCCTGCCTGGTAAGGTTCCTAAATCACAGTAATGTTCAGAGAGACAGAACTGCCAAGGGGGTGGCAAGAAAGATGCTTTAGCGCCCATCTATGGTGAATCTTAACAGAAGAGCTTGAGGAAGCAGTTCTGGCAGTAGGGCTTGTCGTTCTGCTCTTTGAAGGTTCCTTTGTTGAGCTGCTTGAGGCAGAAGGCACAGACAAAGTGTTCGGGGTGGAATTTCTTGCCCATGGCAGTGATGCAGCGTCCTGTGATAGGCTTCTGGCAGCCGGAGCAGAGCGAGCCGCGGCGCTCGTGGTAGTGCACCTCGCAGTAGGGCTGCCCGTCGTGCTCGAAGAAGCTGCCGTTGACAAACGGGGTGAAACACTCCTGCAGCAGGACAAAGCAAAGTGAACAGGTTCTATGAGAAGCTGGGGGTGTGGGAGGGGCAGCTCCACCAGCCTCCCCCRCTCTGTGGCACAGCCCAGCTGYGCTGTAGGCAGGTGAACTTCCAGCWCTGTCCTATTATTCAGRGCCAAACTCTGTCCATCAAGAAGAATTTACAAAAAAAGGCTAAGAAATGGACAGATAYAGACACAAGCAAAGGAATTAACCAGGTCCTTCCCCCTAGTTGGCTTCATTTCTACAGAGAAAATACAATGAATSAGCTACCAAATGTGTCCAGCCAGGAGAAAAGGGAACATTCCTCCACCAAGATGGCAAACACTGCAGCACCTTTCCCTGCGATTTTTTTCCTCACTCCAGCACTCCAGCTTCCCCACAAGGGCAAGCAGAAGCAAGGACCAACACAGACTTTCACGCAGCAGAATCCTGATGAGCCTGGGACTGGCTCCAGCTGCGAAAATGAGGCATCATTAATCTTTACAAGTGACCTCTCCAGAATGGCTGGCATTAGGCCGGTACACTCTGCAAAGGATTGCCCATCCTGAAACATCTCCCCCAGTTACACATGGATCATTGCTGGGAGAAACTGTGTTATAGTGCTAATGATGTTGAATAGATAAGGGGAAGAGGATACATCAACTATTTGCYAATAAGCATCCAGAGCTCCTCCTCCCCCTCAGTGTCAGGCAGATGAGGACACTTCACTGCAGAATTTGCAACAGAAGCACCCACCATCCCCACCAGACTGGGGAGATTCCTCTCCTTGGGGGAGTGGGAAACTGAGGCAGCAGAGTGAGGAAAAGAGTCRAGGACATTACCAAATTTACCAAATATTTAAGCAGCAAGGCCCAGAGGAGAAGCTGGTTTCCCAAATCATGGTTTTGCTGTCCTCTTTTCCATGGGGGGACACTAATTATCACACACAGGTGGAACCCCCAGCATGTGGACAGGAGTCCAGCAAACAGCATGCATAGCCATGAGCAGCTGAACACTTGCAATATCAGGGAGAATGCAGTTTCCCTGCAGTGAATCCAAGACTTTGCTAATGCTGACAATTACTTCAGCAAACAGTCTCTTCCCTCAGTCAGCAGGGCAGCTGAAAAGTTTGCTCTGCTTTAGCAGAAACAGAAGAGAATCACATCTTGTGGCCTAGAAGAAATCTGGGCTGGCCCCACTAATTCAAGCCGCAGCAGGAAATGAAAGAGCGGGGAAAGGAAAACAGAACTGCTTGACAAAGTCTCARTCTCTGCACGAGAAGGCATAGCCCCCCAAACCAGTCAGGGACAGCTTCTGCTTCACTCTCTGCACACCAATGCAGGAGCCACAGACAGCCCCAAGAGGCTGGTGACAGCCTGCTCTGAGCATCACAGCAGGAATMAGCAGCTTGTGGTTCTGGATGCTTGATCTGATGCTTTCTGCCCTTCTCTCCCACTCTAGGAAACAGCAGCTGATTTGGCAGATCTCTTSGGGACTGTAAGAGTTAATATTTGCAATGCTCTCTGAAGGAGTGCCAAGCATTTAATCTGCAGTATTCCTGTTTATTATGCCTGTTGTATAGAGCCTGCCACTATTTCACTGACTTGTATGTGTGTCTGWACAAGGTCAGTCTCATTAGTTTACATTGTCAGATGGAGCATGGGAGGAAGATCCTTAAAATCTGAYTGCTGAGGCAAGTGCTCAGAGAGAAGATTAGCTTAGAATTATTTAAAGGTCACAGAAAATATCTCTGTTTATCTGTGAACTGCTGCAGAAGTCCATAATTGCAGCTGGGAACGGAAAGTGCAAAGCAACTCAAAAGTTTAATATAAACAGGCAGAGAACAAGAAGGTGTTTGGTKGCTGACATGTTTCTATCTTGCGGGGCTGGCTGCCCTTCACTACCCCACAGATGCCTTTTCTCGATATGGGACCAGATGTCTCTGCGTGGAAACGAGAGGGATTGTACAGCAGCAGCAAAGGACCTTGGGTTTCTTACCCGACAGACAAAGCACTCAGGGTGCCACAGAGTGTTCAAGGCAGAAATGTAGTTTTCCAGGATAGCCCGGGCACAGCCTCCACACTTGGGAGCAAACATATCAAAGTAGTCCTTGCGGCAATAGGCTTTGCCATCCTTCTCGTGAAATCCTGCCAAAGGAGAGGAGAGGCAARGGCATCAGCTTCCCATCTTCACCTGTGGGCACACATGCTGTGCAGGGTAACTCGTGAGAGTAGGACCATCCTTCTCCCCGCTAACACACACAGTAGCTATAGCTGTTCCTTGTTCTGCTCCCTTCCCATCCCAGCACAGGCATGCTCTTTCTCCCCGGGGAGAAGCCATGATTATTGGCAGCATCCTTCCCCCATAAACAGCTCCYTTGGAATTCCAGTAATTCCCCTGTGATGCCTCATCCTGTCCCCCAGCAGCAGCTCTGCCTTACACCCTTGTCTGCAAGTTCAAGGGGGAGATTGCTTTCCCCTTGCATAAACCAGCAATACCTTCAGGTCCAAAGAAAGCTCCACACTGGGCACAGAAAAAGTGTTCAGGGTGCCATGTCCTGTCCAAAGCCGTCACCACTTTCTGTTCAGGAGGAGACACAAAGTGCAAGTCATRTAAATGATGGCTTCAGCTTGGAGGTGAATAAGGGGGATATGGAGGGAGAGGAGAACACATGAATGTTGGTGCTGACAAGAGCAAGCATTAGGATAGACTGTCCTTTAGAGAGCAGAGTCAATTCACCCCTGCYTMTGGCTTGTTCAGACTTCCCCACTGCACACTTTTTTTACCCTAAAAGGATCTTAGGCACTGCTTCCTCCCTTTCACAGGGCCCCATTCAGTCCCCAGGACTAGCACTAGTGCCTGTTTCCACAGGCTACTTACAACAAAAGCTGAGGAATCATGATCAGAATAATGGAGCAATGTGGGGCTCTTAAGGAACTTCAGCAAAGGTAAGAGGGACTAACTCCACTCACTAGTGTAAGAACTTGACTGTGTCAAGTTGTTTCTGTTCCAAAGCAAGAACAAAGCAAATATAGAAATCCCTGAACAAAATATTCTACCCAGGATACAAGGGTGAAGTGGAACTTTTTACACCTAGGCCTTCAGCAACTTGCCAGCACCATGACTCCCCCAAGGAACTCACATCAAGGATGGGCCCGTTGCAGTAGTAGCAGCGAGGGGAGAAGAGGTTGTGATAATCCTTCTCGCAGTAGGGCTGTCCATCCCGCTCAAAGAAGTTCCGAGACCCGATCTCCTCCTGGCAGTGGGTGCAGACGAAGTGYTCAGGGTGCCAGGTTTTCCCCATGGCTGTAACCACCTGTTGGGAAGACATATTATGGAGAACAACTCTATCTCCCCCTTCYCTAGACCACATGACAAGATACCAGCTGGAGATCAGCAAGAATGACAAGTTCTACTACTCAAGTGAGCCCTGGACTGGGGTAGCATGAAAACTGAATTACCTATCATCTCAGGAGAGGGCAGTCCCTCAGGGGCAGGGTAGAGGTCACTGGAGGAGCTTACAGCGTACCTAGCCAGTGGATAAATAGAGTACTTCAGTTTCTCCAGCATCTCCAGTCTCTCCAGCCTCACGAAACAGCCCTCCCCGTTACTCCCAGCTGCAGCCCAAGGTTCAGCAATGAGGCAGCACCTTCAACTCACCTGCCCAGCAATAGGCTTCTTGCAGGCTCCACAGACACCTTTGGCAACGGTAGCTACACCCAGTTTATTCAGGTCAGACTGGAGACTCCCCAGCATGGTATCCAGCTGACTGCCAGGCTTGGAGGCTGTGGATGGAGGGGAGCTGTTCCCGCTTTTTCCTTGGGCCATGAACTGCAGGGAAGAGGAAAAAAGTACTGTAAGGTGAAAAAAGTAAGGAAAAAATGTACTGTGAGGTAAGTAAGTAAGGTGAAAAAAAGTAAGGAAAAAAGTACTGTAAGGAAAAAAGGGCTGTAAGGTGAGTGCTTATCAGATAAATGCCTGCTGTTACTGCCAGTGGCTCCTCTGCAGAGACAGACAGGAGTCAGCCACACCCTCTGAAGAAGGTGGTGAGAGCCAGGATCAAGTACACACACATATTCTGCCCATGCAGAGACACGTGTAGAACTTGGGATGTGTAACAGCAGAGCTGTGAACTGAGGATTTGATTTAACTTCATTGCACATACAGAAGTCACCATCCCAGGCACTCAGTACAATGCTCTCTAAGCCTCTGCCGAAAATCTTCCTTTACCTCCTAAGTTCCTGGCCAGCTGACAAAGCAGATGCCATCCAGAGGGCCCTTCTCATTGACCTCTCTCCATTCCTATGCTCTTGCTCCCATTTGTCTCTCCTCTCTGATAGAGATGCTTTTCTCTCCCTCACCTCCCTTGCAGCTAGAAAATCTTCTCCCTTTGCACCACCTTCTGCAGATCAGTTTGCCCAGTCTCTCTCTCACTCTCAGGTGGTTCTCATCCCATGCCTGAGCTAAGCWATTGGAAGCAGGAAGGAACTCCCTCCCAATTGCCTGCTGTTTACCTACAGAGAGGGCAGTGCATCCCCAACACACAGGGCTGCCACGTGTATTGTCAGAGCTGGAAATGCACCGGTGGGGGGAAGGGAATTTGAATATTTGTCTCAGGCTGTTTCTGAAACTCACACCACCGCAGCACACACAGCTTGGAAAGGCTTCCCAGAGGAGGGGAGAAATGTTTTACTGATGTTCATAACTTACAAAGCCTATGCTCTCCTGGCCACCACAGCCACCTTTGCAGACAAACCACAGCAAGGAAAYATGTATTATTTTAGCTGACTTGGCACTGCTATAGCTGCTGTCAGGTTTAGGGACACACAAAGTCAGGTTTGGAGCACGTTTGCTTTTACAAAGAGTAAATTAAAASAGACATAAAATCTAGGCTTGTGAASAACCCACCAGCCTGCTGCCAGCACAGCCAGAAGAGCAGACATGCTGAAGTGCTCTGAGCCTTTGCAGACCCTGTGCTTCCCGCCACAGGAGGAGCTCTGCTCCCAGTCCTGCTGGTCCTTGCAGTCCACCAGTTTACTCTATACAAATCCTGGTTTCTGCTCATATGTATAGAAATTCTCATGACATACATAAATTTAGCTGCTTTTACACACACATCCACACACTCCCTAGCCTTGCCTTACATGCAGTGTGATTCCCAAGAGGGCCTGCTTTTTCCCTCCTCTTTCCTCTCATAACTTGCAACCTCTCTCAGTYCAGCAGCACGGAGCAGCCTCATCACACTCCAGTGTCCTCAGCCTAAAACAAACCCTCCACCACACAGCAGACACTTGCTACCAAAAACTGTTACAGTGACTGTCTCCAAAGTGCACACATAACTATAAGGAGACTCTCACAGAGGGAGACAACAACAGGTCTTTGGAGACAAAGCCTGTCCAGAGCCCCAGCATAAAGCCTGGGTTTCCTGCATGGTGCAGCAGGAGGAAAAGGGCCGCACTGTGTGGGAAGAATCAGCTTCTCTTACTCTAGCCAGGAGTTATGGCCACGCAGGGCAGGCACACATACCACACACAAGCRATAGATACCATGCAGGGAGAAAGGAGATGAAATGAATTCAACATGTAACAACAGAGCACTTCACCCTTGTAGTGACCTGTAGGGACCACACACTGCTGGCAGCCACGACTGACCCCAGAGCAAGCACAAATACCTGTGCACACCTCAATTTCTAACTGGCCTGGCCATCCAGCCTTCTTGACAGCTCACAGATGAGCCCCACCTGAAAGGTTTTTTTCCACCTCCTGTACATAATGCCTGCTGTTTGCAGGGGACAATCAGCATAGCATCCACATAAACTCATCATGCAAAAGCCGTTCAGATTCCCACCCTTCCCCCGTGAGTTTGCCATCACTCAAGTTCAGGAAGGAGCTCTATGWGCAGAAAACCATGCACTACAGGATATTATCCACATTAATGGTACTGGGAGCTCCAGGAGAATATCCCAGCACACTCATCAACCAGAAGAGCACACCATGCTGAGGAAACAGAAAGGGGGTCCTGCCTTGTCAGGGGCTGGGGGGCCCGGGGGTACAGGAGCAGCCAACAGACTGGCACTGCGGACAGGGGAAGGAGCAGAGGTCACCTGAAAAGTACAACAGGTCAAGATGCAGAGGTTGCTCATGTGCTCACTGCTTGAGAGCTGCCTGTACACTAACACTGCACTGCTCATACACATTAAGACTCCCCACCACCCTGGAGCTAYAGCCTTCCCTGGCAGGCGAAGCAGAACCCAGATCCTGACCATGCTATCTCCTCCACCAAATCCACTCTCACAGTGGACACCTGTCTAAAAGGGAAACACAGGAAGGACTGCTGGTCTGCTCCTTCCATTGTGGAGGTTCTGCCTTCTTTTACTCCCTCACTTCAGAGATTGTGGCAGGGAGAGCTGCAGGCTGTGTGTCAGAGTTACCTTCTTAATCTCAGGAGGAAATAGGAATCCCTGGTGCACAAAGTGACTATCAGGACAGACAGGACCCACATCCCAGCAAGTTAACGCACAGACATGCACTGTGCAGTGCTGCAGCTGGGATTAGATATTGTCCAGCAGTCCTCTCTCCCATCCAGCAGTTCATACCAGCCTTTACCTGAACACTCTACCTATTGGCTGGTGAAGCTAGAAGCAGTAGCTAGACTAAAAAATACTGCTAAAACATAAACGAGAAGAGGGAAGCCTGCCTGYATTTCTGGGAAGAAAGCTTCATCTTCAGTCTGACAGCCAACAGAGACAACTGTCTTGGTGCTAGGGGTCCAGGTCTTGGGAGAACAGGAATGTTTGGGATCTTCATTAGGAGGGGTGCCCACAACAGMAACCTCACGATAATCATCACCAGAAGTTTCCCACTGGAGGAGAGGCTGAGGAGCCAAGCTAAAGGAAGAGGAAGAGACTGGACTAGGAGCTGGGGTAGATGACACATGGGAAGGCTGAGGTGGTAGTGAGAGAAGAGGCGCAGGGCCAGAGACAGGAGAAGGAGCAGCATTAGCAGGRACTATCTTTGCAGCTTCTTTGGAAGGCTGGAGCTGGGAAGAGGTTGGAACAGAGATTGTTCTCCTAGGGAGGAGTGGGGATTCTGGAGGAACAACCACCTAGAAAAACACGGAGGAAGAAGAAAGGTGAATAAATCCAAAAAATGAACCAACAAGCACTTCCTTTTACAGGAAGGCTGACTGCTACCAGTATGTTTATCCAAGGAGGAAAAGCAGCAAAAAGAAAAGGGAACTAGAAAAGGTGCTGCTCTGTGTAGCTCAAGTAAAAGTACCATCTTGTTTATCCCCAGAAAGCTCTTCACAGGTACAGCACTGGGCAAAACAAAGCACACCTATATGTTAGGCTTCCCAGTGTGGTTTCAAAAATAACCCCCACATGGACATTTGACATGTGAYAGCAGCAGTCTGCATGAACAGATACCATCACCAGCTCCCTCTCCAATTCTTAAACATCCAGAACTAGGAGCCTGTGCCTCTTTCCTTCTCAGGTCAGACAAGGGTGAATAGAAAGAGTCAGTTCTTCATTTCATGTTGTTTAGGATGCATAGAAATTCAATCTGCACCTCCACACAAAGCTGRCTGGACAGAGGCACATGCTGGGATTTCCCAACACACATGTCCCTGCTTTCTACCTTCTCTACTTGCTGTTCACCACTCTGCTCTTCCCCCCRGGGCCTGGCAGTGACAATGACCCCCTCTGTCAGCCAGGCATCCTGGCTTTGCCACTCCTCCTGCTCCTGGTTATCGATGCCCAGTCTGTCCTGCAGCTCCTCAATCAAGCGATCCTGGGACTCAGTCTTGTGGAATATGGCAGGACCTAGTTTACGCCTTGGAGAGAGGTCCCGAGACATTGGATGCACGTTTGCAGTCTCTTTTGTCCTCTTGATTAAAGATTTAATCTGAATGACAAAGGCAATAGTATCAGCAGAGAAGAGCAAGGTCAGGGAAGCAATAGCACAAAGTCGAAGATGCAACAGCACAAACTCAAAGACAAGACATTAGTGACAAGTGTGAGCAGGAAGAGTGATGGCATTTATTCCACAATGCCAAAATTCCTCTTGGCACAGCCCAGAACAGTGACTCAGTGCAAGGAAAAACCCCGTAAGGATAATCACAGCAGCCAAAAATAACTGTCTAGAAAAGGAAGGGAAAGATTAACCAGCAGAAAGCCAAGATAGGAGGTGCAGCACGAGCACTCCACTGAGCATTACAGAAACCTCAGCATCACAAGGGCACAGAGCTGCCTCTCTGTGTTTGTCCTTGACAGGCACAAGGCTCTTGGTCAGAGATGTCTGGTGCACAAAGTGTACTTCCAGCATGGGAAGGAATATTAACAGCWCCAGTAAGGAGACCTAAAAAGGCGAGCAGAGCAGAGGAGCTGCCATCCCAATCAGTGGCATTAAACAGCCCTTTCAGTTTTTTGGAGGTCTCTGTGGACTGAGCCTTACCCCAGTCAGGGAATAAAAGTCCATTTCACAAGGAAGTCCCTACAAACTGCCATATTCTGTGCTGCTGAACAACATGCAGGAGATACCACAAGATAAAGCTGGGGGATCCAAAGCCCCATGACATGCAGCTGTCAGTGACACCACTCAGAGCTCATGCTGTTAGTGGAGGTGAGCCCAGGAACACTCACTGCACACACACACACACACAGTCAGTGTGCTGGCAGAACAGTCCTGGCTAGGACTCGCCCTACTCCTACATTCACTCAATGCCTGCCTGGCCTGATGCAGAAATCCTCTCAATGGGTGGTTTGGAGACACATGGCACATCCCATTCAATTTTCCCCAAGTTTTCAGGAGATTCTGGAGTGACTGCAGAGT